ATGGCAAGAGCGAGCCCGAGCACGAGCGCGATTCCATCGTTGGTTTCTGTTGCTGCGCGAGCAAGGCGACCAGCTGGAGTATCAGACCGAGATACACCGCTGTGGACAACCAGAGCGAGACCATCCGCTGGCTGAGCTCCCAGGCGCACAGGACTGCGCGGACTCCAGCTTCAGCAGCAACGGCGGCCTCGTCAGCACCTACAGCTCCAGCGACGGCGACTTCCTCAGCGGGCTCGTCGGCATCCACCAGTCCTTCGGACAGGCCAGCATCAACGTCGGCTACGCAGAGTACGGCAGCCTCCTCACCAGGCAGTAGGAGGCGCCGCGGCCAGGCCTCGGACAGGCCTCCGACCTGGCGGTTCATCACCGTCAACCCCAACTCTTGGGCCTCGTACCAAGACGTCCTGGAATGGCAGCTGGCCCAGGGGACCCGCAGATGCCACGCCTGGAGTGTGCAAGAGACTCGGCTCGAGAAATCCAAAGAGAGGTCGGCGTCCAACTGGGCGTTACAACGGAGCCTCAAGACCACTTTCGAAGCGGCGGTGCGGACGGGAGAGCACCAGCTAGCCACGTCTGCAGGGGTCATGGCTGGAGTCGCTTCGCATGCTCGCTCGGTGGCTATCCCTTGGCAAGACCTCGGTCTCCGTCGTACTGGTGCAGGAAGAGTTGCTGCGCTCAAGGTTGACGCGATGGTGGCCTCGGGATTGCTGTGGATCGCGTTGCACGCCCATGACGGTCAGGAGTGCAAGGGGGGCAACCTGGAGCTTCTTGAGGACCCAGGAGCGTACCTCCAGAGCTGCCAGATGCCCTGGATTCTTGCAGGAGATTTCAACATGCTGCCAGAGACGCCTGGGCTGGTCAAGTGGACTCAGATGCTTAACGGTTCGATCGTGGCCCCCGACACAGCCACCTTCTCAGGCGGCGCTGGCAAGGCCCGCTGCTTGGACTTTTTCATTGTTTCGAGAGGAATGGCTGCCGCCGTCCAGAGCATCGTTCCTCTTCATGCTGCTCCATGCGGACCGCATACCCCAGTTCAGCTCACGGTGAAGGGATTCTCTCTGAGGCCCCCAGTGCACGTCCGTGCGGCGTGGAGGGCCTTCCCTACGAGGACCCCCATTGGATGCCAGAAGGAGCCCCTGAGGCACCAGTGGACGTGGGACACGGGGGACCCTGGAGACCAGCGCCTGGACACCCTCTGGGCCGAGCGGCCCACCAAGATGGAGGATGAACGTTGCCGTCGTTTTGATCTCTGTGAAGGTAGTGGCACGCCCTATCGTGGACGTGCTGGGGGATTTCGGCGCCGCGAAGTGCAACTGCAGTTGCTTATGCAGCGGCGTTGGGAGGATGGAGTGTCTCCGAAAGGTCGGGCTTGGAAGCCACTCCGAAGGACCCTGCACAAAACACGAGGCCTCTGGGCGGGCCCTGACATTCCCAGATTCTGGAACACCATGGAGGGCCTCCTGAGAACCATCCGGCAGCTCGACCCGACCATACTGGGACCAGAGCTTGGGCATGTCGGGGACATCCCCTCACTGCTAGATGCGGCTACGACAGGAAGTGACTCCCTGGAAGCAGTCGTGGACTCGGTAGATCACATCAACGAGCGCATCACCCGCGAGCAGGCCCGTCTGCGTTGGCAGCGCTGGCGAGCTTGGGCACGCGACGCTGTTTCTGGAGGCGGCAAGGTGGCACACAAGTTTATCAAGGAGGCATCCCCGATCACCCCTCCCATGGCCAAGGATGGCCTACCTTTGCAAGGCGATGCAGCGGTGCAGCAGATCCAGACGGACTGGAGTAAGTACTGGCATGATACTAAGACGTTGATGACGGACGCTCAGGTGCGCCAAGCTGGAGCAGAGACGCTGCCCCCCCACCTTTGGATCTCCGTCGGACGGATTTAAAAAGTTAAAACATGATGTGGGACTAGGCGTCGACAGCATCAACCCAAGAAGCTGGCTGCTCCTCCCCGACGATTTTCTTTGTAGGCTCTGCGATGTGCTCGCCGTATGGGAACGAGACCTGGAAGTACCAGAGCCATGGCCGACGATCATAGTGTTCATCGCAAAAGCAGAAGGGCCAGGACTCCGACCCATTGCGCTCATCGCCAGCCTGTTTCGTGTGTGGGCGCGCATGAGCCAAGCCATGGCCAAGGAGTGGGAGCGCGCGCATGACCTCCCGTGCTTCTGGGGATCCACAGGCCGCACTTGCGATCGTGCTGGTTGGGAACATGAATTCTACAACTACCTCTCCTCCCTCAACAGGTTTGAGTCGGCCACTCTTTTCAGCGACCTTGAGAAGTTCTACGAGCGGGTGTCCCACTTTATCCTCATGAGGGAGTCGCGGGCCACGGGGTTCAATGGGCGCCTCACCTTGGCTGCTTGCAGGCTCTATGCGGGTCCTCGGGCCCTCAGCTTTCACAATGGGGTTGGAGAAGTATTCCGAGCCAATGGGGCGATCTTGGCGGGTTGCACGCTGGCCACCACCTTTCCTAAGATGATGTTGCACAGGTTGCTCCGAGACCTCCTGGAGGCCCACCCCGATGTAAGGATCAGAAACGTCGTAGACGATGTGCACGCACAATGTCTCGGCACAGTTGACACGATCACGCTCCCGCTAGGACAGGTCGGGAACAAGTTAGCTGTTGGCTACTCGAAGCTCGAACTTGTGCTGGAAAACACTAAGACGCACTTTGTGGCATCCTCGAGGCTTCTTGAGAAGCAGCTCAGAGACACCTGGAGGCACCATGGGTTTCGAGCGCAGAAATCGACCAGGAGTTTAGGATCCACGGTGACGGCCGCAAAGAGACGTAGGCGCACTACCACTCAGGCTGCTCGTCTTCGAAAGGGTCTTCGCAGGAGCTGGAAGCTCCGCCAACTTCGGGGAGGTGGGGCGACCACGCATCGGGTTCAGCGAGCTGGACCTCAGGCGTGTGCCGTCTGGGGAGCCATTGTGGGAGGGCTCTCTGGACGTCAGCTCCACAGCCTTCGTGTCGCTGCAGTGAGATCCCTATTCAAGTGTAAAGGAACGGCTTCCCCTGGTCTTAGGTTGTACAGTTCGAAGGTTGGACAGCGAATGGACCCCCAGGGCCTTTACCATAGATCTGTGGTGTTGGCCTGGTCCCAGGCCATCTGGGATGGAAGGCCCGCGCTGGCCAATATGCAGCAGGCCCTTGACGGAGCCCAGCAGGATTTAAGCGAGGCTCGGTTTTCATGGCGTGCCGTTCGGTCCCCTGCACACGTTTTCGTGCAAACGGTCAGAGCACTAGGCTGGCAAATCCAAAACGCTCGTAGTTTGGTTTCGGAGGATGGCCGAGCATTGGATCTGCTGAGCCTGGCGCCGCACCAGGTTTCGTGGCTTGCGCAGCGAGCGGCCCAGAGGAAATCCGGCGTGGCGGCCTTGGCGGCCAGGAGCGTCTCTGTGGTTTGGAACCGGCCTGTCCTCTGGGAGCCCCTCCTGGATCTTCTGGAAGGCCCTGTCAAGGGCCCGTGGTCCAAACACCATCAGGAGTCGCTGCGCAGCCTGATTTCTCAGTGCACGTGGACTCAGGAGCGTTTACGCAAGCACGGTTTAACCAGGGACCCGCTATGCCAGCTATGCCGCTCCGCCCCTGGGACTCTCTGGCATCGACGCTATGTCTGCCCTGCTATGCATGGCGAGAGAACCACGGCTTGCAGTAAAGAGCTTCTCCAGGCTGCCAGGAATCTGGAGGCCTGGCAACAGGACCTTGAGAAGGCTGCGGCTGGCATTTCCCCCCCCCCCCTTCGAGCTGGCTCCTCCCCCTCTCCCTGCGTGCCAAGCGGGTATCACCTGGGTGAATCGGCCTGAAGATGGGGTCCTGCGGGGCCATGTTTTTTCGGATGGGTCCTGCCTGGACCCCACGGACCCGTGGCTGGCCCGTGCGGGCTGGGCCCTGGCGATGGTTGACGATGACGGCCGACACATCTCAGCCTGTTTCGGAGCCGTGCCGCTCGAGGGGAAGTGAGAAGGGGCGTGCCTTCTCAGATCTGGACGCCCGAAATAGGCACGGAAAGAATGGGCACAGTGCCCAGCAACAAATCTTTGCTGTCCCGAACCAGCAGCGGCCGCTGTTGGGCAGGCGGCCCTCTGTCTCGAATGGACACAGGCCGCGGCGGCGCGGACAGCGAGTCCTGTCCAAAATGAACAGGAACTGCTGTTGGGCATTGTACCCATTCTTTCCAGACCCATTTCGGGCGTCCAGATCAGAGGCTCGGAGGTCCCCGGGGCTTCCGAGAAGTTTCCTAAGCCCTCCCAGAAGACAGAGAGAGACTCCTCAGGAGGCGCGCGAGGGCTTCTGAGAAGTCCCGCCGCCTCCTGAGAAGGCCTTCTCCTTCTCAGTTCCCCCACTCGCTCGCCGCCGATTCTCGTCTTTTTTGTTGGGGGGCATCCAGCGTGTTGTCCATCGCGATCTCAATGTTCGCTCGATGCGTCGTTGCGACCCCGTCAGGCTCTGCCCGGGCTTCCACTGGCTACCTCTTCCGAAGACGGCGCATTCAATACTGCACGTTTGTATGCGTAAGGGCGCGCGTAACTTGCGCACACTCTGCATCACTCGTCCTGGGAACTCCAACGCCTGCGCAGCTGTATAATGCAAGATTTTCCCAGAGGGCCCCGAAACTGCACCAAAGAGTCCAGCAGCCCCCAGAAACCATCCACATACGATCACAGAACAAACTTGGAATCGTTGCGACCAAGAAACCTTGGATCGGGAACCATTCTTCTGGACAAACATTTTGATGTCGCAATCATCCGCTGATGAACGACAGCCACATCCCTTCTGGATTGCTGCCGCGAACTGGTGGTCTAAACAAACTGCAGGACAAAAATATGGAACACTTGCAAAACATCAGTGAGAACAGAGCATCAACTCGAGCTGCGCTGGCGGAGGGGGGAAAGGGCAAAGAGGAGGAGTCACCCTCTCTGGCCCAAAGCAGCCCTGACCAACGGCGCCGCCCCAAGATTCCGAAGCCCGCCCAGGATAC